AAAGAAAAAAAAAGTAATATTTCAAAGCTGGTCATTTGCCTCAGATCAATCAAATTAGACAATATGGCTTCTCAGATTAAAAAAAATTGAATTATGTATTAAAACATTTCTTAATTTTGATGTGGTACCATATAATATTTTCACTGACTGTATTTTCGTAACGTTCACTCAAAAATGAAAATTAAGTCATCGTGCACTCTCTCCCTCATATTGTTCCAAACTTTATGCCGATCGATATATATATATAAAATGATTTTAGCAAATGGCTGCAATATAACAAAGAGTGAAAAATTTAAGGGGGTCTGAATACTTTCCGTACCCACTGTATATACACACGCACACATATAAATATATATTTAAATGTATATGTGTATATACATATATACGTGTGTGTAAATATGTGTGTGTGTGTGTATATATATATATATATATATATGTAAATGTATATGTATATGTGTGTGTATATTTATATATACATGTATATATATATATATAGGTTTTGGTTAGGACTGACTACCATTGTATGGACAGAATAGAATATATATAATCACTGAGGCACTTAGCAAAATATCTTGTTTTTTATATCCCACAGAAGAAGGTAAGTCTTATAGGTCTGGAATGACATGAGGGTGTGTAAATGAAGAGTTAGATGCAAAAGCCTCTAAGTGCAATCTGAATTTTTCTTCTAAAATTAGCATTTTTCTCAGGCCCTATGTTTATGTTCAATTATTTCACTTTAATTGCAATGAACAGAACCTATTCATTGCCATTAAAGTGAAATTAATGAACCTACACCTAGGAGCCTGATAAAAATGCTCATTTTAGAAGAAAATATCAAACGGCACTTAGAAGCTTTCGCATCTGAACTCTTCAAATGATGACAGAATTCAGTTTGGGTGAACTCTGACTTTCAGACATTCTTATTAACATTGTTAGATTGTACTGAAAGAGCTACAAAAACTTTCTGATTTATCTGGTTAACCATTTAAATACCAAAAGAAAGCTATTAAACATTATTTACATATTTAATATGATTTTTAAAAATGAAAAAACAAAAACAAAAAACAATAACAATGGTATTGTTGGACAAAAAAAAAACCTTGCTTCAAGTATCAAGTAGGCACTGCTGCCACCCTGTGGTCGGCATAAGAAGTACAGCACTTAGTTCCATTGTTAAATGAATAAATATCCCATGATGAAATAAATAATCTTTGAAGTTCTGAGAGTACTTGATTTGTAGTTAACTGCACACTGAAACTGAGTGTGTTGTAGGTTGTTTCAGTGGCCTAGAGAACTGAGGCCGGCTCTCTGAATCTGTCCTTTTATTAACTAGCAACAGGCTTAATCCATGCTTGATTAAAAACGGCAAAACCAGATCTAACCAGAGTTATTTATCGAATTCTGCTCTCTCTTCATCAGAACTCATCCATATGGATGAAACATACAAATAAGAGAATGTCCCCAAATGCAGGCGACTTTACTCTGTAGCTCCATCATCCAAAGGGCTCTGTGCTCGGAGTTGCTGTCAAGATCCTTAAGGGATTTCACTTTGACCCTCAAAGGAAAAGGTTAACTTTAGCCGGGACTAATTTGCAGCCAGTGCTGGAGAAGTATTGGCTGTCATTTGGTGTGTAAGTCATGGCGCCCCCTACCGATGATGCCACATCTGCCCGCTGACACTCCCCACGCTGGCAGAGCTCCCGCTGGGCACAGCGCTCCACGTGGCGCCGCAGCAAGGGGAGGAAAGGCACAAAACGAGTGATAAGCTTTTCTGTAATTATTCTGGAGTGGTAGAACCCACCTGGGAAACAAAGGTCACCCACAGATTAGATTGACTTAACAGAGGAAAATTGTGCAACATATATTAAGCACTCAGATTAGCAGCTACAATTAACATGATTAAAATGAAGATCTATGACACTCACTGTTCTTTTTGTTGTACACCGCATCAGCAATACGGTCCTCCAGCTCTTTCGGGAGAATGTCCTCTCGATCTCTACCTGCCTGACGGCTCTCCAGCGCAACTTTGTTAATTACCTCCTGACCTACAGTACTGGGGGAAAAAAAAAAAAAACAGTAAAGGGATATGGCAAAGTTCATCCAAACATGAAAATTCTGACTTCATTTACTCATCCTCCTGTTTTTCCTAACCTACAAGACTTCGGTTAATCTTCAAAAACACAAATTTAAATATTTTTTAATGAAACCGGAGAATTTTCTGTCCCTCCATTGAAAGTCTTAATCCAAAAAGGTCATAAAGGCAACGTAAAAAACAAATCCATATGAATCGAATAGTTTCAAACAAAGCGACTGTTCAAATGGATTTGTTTTACGAAGCCTATATGACCTTTTTGGATCCTACCCAGACTTTCAATGGAGGGACAGAAATCTCTCAGGTTTCATTCAAAATATTTCAGAGATTAACCAAAGTCATAAGGGCTTGGATTGACATGAAGTTGAGATTGAGAACACGATGACAGTATTTTTTGGTGAACTATCACTTTAATACATACAATTCTCTGCTTTGAAATGTTATATTGCCTTGAAGGACAGAAGCCTGTCCTTAATGAGCATTTAAAATAATATTCCATTGATCAGTCATTCAGAATTACCTGATAAATATATAAATCGCTTTACGGTAGTTTGTCTGGAATAGAACATGAAAGGGGCCTAAATGTGGTTCTAAAACATCGATTACACCAGGAGGCATTTTCTCCATCTCATCGAAGATGAAGATTGAGCGAGCACAAGCTGTGAGGTTTCTTTCGACCCAGTGTTTTAGATCTGACTGTGAACAAGAAAACACAAAACAAGAACAAGTTAAAGAACAATAACTAAAGAACTGTATTCATCCAGGAACTAAACATTAAAGTGCACATGGTTTGTGTTAATATCAATAAAAACACACATACCCTATACTGTTGCACCCTGTCAGCCGAAGGAAAGTGTAAGGTGGGAATAAACTGATGGATGTATGGACTGCCCATAGCTGTTCCGTAGACATGTCGTCCTATCATAGAGCTGACCAGACTTTTTCCAGTCCCAGATGCTCCATGGAAAGACAGCACTAGTGGTCTGTCTGGGTTCCCATTCTGTAAAAAATTCACCACTGCTTCCGAGACAATATCCTGGGCCATATGTTGACCATAAAGGTTTTTATAAAGGTCCCACTCTAAACCTGTGAAAACACAGACACGGATGGGATGATTGAAAGGGTTTGTAAATAAAAGCTTGCAGTTACACACAGCTCACATAATGACAAATCAATTCATCAAGGGCTCCAAATATAGAGAAAAACAATAGCATATGTCAATGCATAAGATTGTTTCATGATATATTTACTGGTACCACATATTAAGTTGATTTGCTTTGCTTACAAATAAAAACAAACACAATGATTAAGTACTAACTTGTAAGATAAGATCTCAGTTAAATGACTGCCAACTGTCCAGTATATAACTGTCAAGTCTTCGTCAGAATGTCAGTCATAATATTTAAATTTTATTGATGCATTCATTGTTATGAATAAATGTCTGTTACTCTAAAATATGTATAATTTGCCCAGCTAAATTGATATGTATATAATTATGTGCACTTTAGTATGACATTAAAATGTATTTATAAACATAACACATAAAATAATTCATATAAGGAAGCCAACATCAGAAAGATTGTATCGTAAATGCATTTTAGCATTTATTCTAGTCAAAAAGTGATCTGTATAAAGGTACAAAGCTGCAGACATACACTGTGAACTATGTAGCATTTCGTTTGTTTACAGTGTGGTCAGCTGTCATCTACCATTAATGGTTAAGTTAAATCTGGCGTATGTGGTATAAAGAAATAGTGTCAGGTTTTTATCTTGAAAGAAATCCGTTGGTTTCATCTGGTGAAGCTGTAAGCCCCACTGAGTAAGTTACTAGAGAAGCTAACGCTAGCTGTCTACATGCTGAAGAGACAGCTGTTCATATCCCACACACCTTACCTTTTTTGTCTGGTTTGAAGTCACAGTCGCAGCTATCAGATATTGAACAAAAAATAGACTTCATCTCAAAAGCGGTACCTAAGGACGTACAATAAATTAAAAGAAGTATAAATATCATTGTAGTTATAGCCTCGGAGCACTGCTCCAAGATGAGTTGGCTGGCGGAAGCAGAACTGCTACAGCGCCACAGACACTAGAGGGCAACAAACTGAATTCACACGTTTCCGCGAATCGGTTCTTTCGAACGGTTCGAGTAGAAGGAACGATTCACTGAATCTTTTACGTCGTGACGTGAATGCGTATATCCGTGGGCCTTGTTTTTCTGGTCAAATAAGTTTTATAACGGTATTAATTGTAAAATTACGTGTCCCAATACCATTTTTAATTTGCAGCCATGATTTATGTAAAAAAAAACATAATTTACAACCTAAATATGCATTTACAAACTGTATTTGCATCTCTTTGCAGAATTATTTCGCACTTTTTAATACAACGCTATTAGATAGGCTAGCCTACATTCTTCGTATAGCCTAAGTGGTAAATATATTTCCAGTATCCAGACCTATTTCTCTACCTTAAGGGTAGTAACCTTTCGCCCTATCAGAGAATGACTAGGCAAGTCGCCTGTTTACGAATCATTACGAATCGGACATGAACGAGAAAAAAAATGTGTCCTGTGATTATAATCAGCATGTTAAAAATAAAAGTTCTTACACAAGAACTAGGCCTATGCATAGGGCATGATGAGTGAAAATTATTCTGAATCAATAATGTTTAAATAAATTAGACATAAGAGATTCATGTCTAATTTAACCTTAACCCTGAAACAACATACAGAACTACCACATTTTGCTATAAGTTTGATTGCATCATATAATAATTGCTGTTAATAGTGTTCATCGTCTGTTTTATTAAGTCTTAAATTGATTTTCCCGTACATTTCTGCCATATGTACATTGACTGACAGTCACCACAGATAGCTACCACTAAATATTGTAGAAACTTAATTTGTTGTTGCTTTGCAATGATTTGTATCGTGAAAAGCGCTGTATAAATAAACTTGAATTGAATTGAATTGAAGATTCACTTGACCCAAGATTTACTTGACTATGATGTGGCGACTAGTATCAAAGTACATACACTACAATTTCAAATCAGTAAATGCATGGCAATAAATAAGATAAACAAACATTTCACTTGGAAACATACACCACAGTAACTTAAATGGAAGAAAACCAAAGAATAAATCAGCTCTGAATTTATTTTTAAATGATGTGTGTAAGTATGAAATAGTAGAGTTAAATATATCATCTTAAAATCTCCAAAACGTGTACCAACGAGTAAATATTACCCATTATCTGGTCATTATTGATTATAAGAACCAATAACAGTGCAATTAAACACATACTTCAGAGTTCAACGTTAACAATATTAGCACAGTTGAGGTTTTGTCTTGAAAATACAACTTTGGGTATGAATTTTATGTACACTATGTAAATAATAACATTGAAAATCAAATAAGTTAAAATGGCAAGATATGTTGAGTTTATATACAGTGGCAGACATACATCTCCTTTATAAACCTATGAACAAAAAAAAAAAAAATCAACGTAACTAAATAAATTCATAAAACATAGTGGATATTCTGCAAATAGTATGTGACTAGCAGTCATTCATTCTGTCATTTTGCTGAGTCGGAAAGCTCAATCCTGTTGGACAGAGCTGTTAGCACTTCATCAAACTTTGAATAACGTTCATCTTTATTTCTTTCCACTCCACGGCTTCCCCACAGGAGACGCATCTGAAACTCTGTGAGGAAGACCTCCCAAACATCTACTTCCTCCTGAAATCCTGCAAATGAAAAATTCAGAAATAAGTAACATTATATGCACCTCACCTAAAACATAACGTTCACTGGGTGTTACTTGAATAACATTTCATTTATAGCATGCATGCAAATTTTCTGCTTATTTTTCATACCTTGACTTTAAAGTGGACAGGGTTTAATAAATGCAACCATTTGTTGTCTTTATGAAAGTGCAGATATACTAAATAGTCCTAAAATTCTGTACCATTAGAAATTTCCATTACCCTGCAGTTTAGCCTCTGCATTTGCACTGAAGATCCTCCCATTGCATGCGATCGTACGTGCAGCATCCAGATGGCTCACCATGGCCACTCCAGTGTCTGCACTTTCCCATGACTCTGACTCCTCAAGAGCCACAACATTTCTTTCAAGAAGGGACAGCAGAGGGAGCACATGGGGAAAAGTTGTGTCTGTGGGTCTACTTATCTCTGAAAGAGAGTTTGAAGTTGTCACTTGAGAATTTGAAATGGTAAGCAAACAGAATCTTTAAAGCAACTTTGTGTGAATGAATACCTTCTCCGTCATTCATCGTCCAAATTGAGGGTCTAAGGGTTTTCTCATAAAGAACAGCACTTTCTGTGTACTTCTGACGTAAAACTGTCCATGTCTCATCCAAGCGAGCAATCTAAAAAGGAGAAGATTGATTCATTAGAACATTATGAACACCAGATTTACTATTATCATTTTTTATTTATTCTTACGAAAAATTATTCTCATGAAACATTTATTTTTATTAATTAAAAAAACTACTTAATAAAATGTTTTCCTCAGAGTTCAAGAGAAATGTTTTCATCAGTCTTCCTAACCTGTGGTAACTCAAGGCATTTCATGACTGTGGCAAAGCCAAACAAATTGCCCAAACTGCTCTTGAGTTCAGAGGCCAGGCAGATGGCTCTATGCAGCAGGGTGGCTCTTTCATCAGCGCTGCCCGTGCAGCCCAGCAGCTGAACAGCCAGCATTATGGACATGGTGTGGAACCTGAGGGGCAAAAAAAAGAGTTATTTGGTGTCATTTAATGTAGAGGTTGTCATCTCACAAAAATAATTTATTGAACAAAGTGGGGATAACCAACCTTTCAAGCAGATCTTGACGGAGATGATGCCCATGTGGGAGGGTAAGCAGCTCCAGTCCTGAACTCACCCCCATCCCTTTCATCATATCATCAGATGTATCCAGAATTCGAGCAACCTGCAGAGTGAAGATGAGTAATCATGTTATTCAAATGCACAAATGTCTTATTTGTCATACACAATATACTTGAAAAAAGAACATATTTAAATGTTCAGAAGATCAAGATTAAATGTAATAATAATAATAATAATAATAATAAAATGTGATTTTTTTCAATTTGACAATAATTTTGTGATTATTTATCAATATGACTATAAAAACAATAATAAACAAATTAAGAAATATTACCGTTGTAATATTTCACTTTACAATAAAAACTATTTGAGTATTTAAGAAAATCACAAAAAAAAAACGGACTTATAAGCTGGTCGTGTATAAATGAACACAGTGCTGTGCTTCACTCTGAAACATTCCGATTAACTGTGCAGCCCTAATAAGTGTCAGTTATTTGAATGCATGAAAAGTAATCTAATCTCAAAACATTTATACAATCAAACTTACCATGCAGTCAACTTTGGTGATATGCATTGCCATTGTCTTTATATCAACTTCAAACAGGACATCCTTCACTTTTTTCAGTATTCTGGTCTCCAAAGGTTTATTTTCTGGGGGCATCAGTGGTGACTGGTACACACTAGGTTTGAAACAGGAAACTGTGTCCATGGTGAAAGGCACTAAATAATCCTCATCGTACTCCTCTCTGCAATCCAAAGTCTGCATTTCATGTCTTACAAAGGGATGATTTGTAGCCACAGGGTCAGCTTGAGAAATTGCTGGGTCATTTTGGGCATGGTTTGCTTCTCTGTTGTTTTGATGGGAATGTGTCATGGAGGACAGAAGATGTACTGTTGGCTCCAAATATATGAGAGTGTTTTCAGGGGGAGATGAACAAAGTCTTTCACTGGACTTTTGGAGAGCAGGTGATGAAGGAACTATCACAAACTTCCTGTTTTCAGAGGGGCTTTGTCGCCGCCTGGCTACTGGAGACAAAAGCAGATGCACAGTCACAATGCTATTCTCATACTTTCTGGTTTTACTTGATTTGATGGGAAATTAATCTTACATGTGCTCATTATTATAGGGGAAGTTGACACTACAAGGCGCTGCTCTATGGTACCTTCAAAACTCCTCACAACATCACTGTGGAATATAGTACACGACAATCAATTATTAAACCAAAACCTAATCATTTACAGGATGAGAATTATGTACAAAAATGTTTTAATGTTTTTGACAGAAGCCTCTTATGCTCACAGAGGCAGCATTTATTAAAAAAAAAAATACGTAACACTCCAAAGAGAAAGGAAAAATTGAAATCGCATCTTTTGACCCCTTTAACATCTATGGAAGCTTTCCATTCCACAAACATTTTTACAATGAAGAAAGTTTCTTTAGAATATTAAAAAGTTCTTCACCGAATGACAAAAAATGGTTCTTCTAAGAACTGTTAACTAAAAGATTCTTTTGAGGGAACCAAAATTGGTTCTTCTATGGCATTGCTAGGAAAACATCATTTGGAACCTTTATTTCTAAAAGTGTACATAAAAATATTTATAAACTCACCTCCCAAGGTATGCGACCATGGTACCAGCCATGACTTGATAAGTTACAGCTGCTTAATTTCAACTCTTGTTCCAACTCTTGCTTCAGTTTGTCTGATGGGGAATTCAGTTGGCATGTCTCTTTAGAAAACTAAAGAAAATAAAGCAATGATGAGAAACCATAAGAACAAAGAAATCATGAGAAACATCCTATGAAACAAATGACTCAGATCTAGATTGCGGTTCTCAGCTGTTAAGGTTACATCATTGTGTTTACAGTTCATAATAGGCCAATATACAGTATATCACTGCAGTAATATATGCTAACAGCATTGTGTGGAGTCTCACAAGCAACAACTAGCCCCATTATCCAATCTATTTATATGTTCATCTGGAGCAATAAAACTGATAAAGTTGGACTTAAATGATGGGAAAATGTCCTGCATGTTAAGTAACTATTGTGCAGAAAGACAAACGACAGTAATGGTGAAAATACTGCCTTTGTTTTAGATGCAACAACAACTAGGCCTATCAGTGGTATAATGTGAAACATTTCTATTTAAATGTGAGCCCGTTTTCAGTTGCTCTAAAATAAACAGCAACATTTGGCACAGTTGGTTGCCTACAGTAACCCTGTTTGTCCTCAACCATTCTGAAGTCATGGGCAGCAGTCCAAGCCCTTTTGTGTCACCCATCCTAATTCAATTAGATTTTAATAGTAAAGCTCTCAGATTCCTTTGTGACCAACACTTTGTGTCACCAGCAAAACAAAATAACCTTTATAATGCAGCAATTTTTATCAATAATTGTCAGTGCTCATCATTTTTTACCAAAAGTTAAAGGGATAGTTCATCTAAAAATGAAAAGTCTGTCATTTGTTTATTCACCTGCATGTCATTCCAAACCTGCATGACTTTCTTTCATCTGCAGAACGCAAAAGGAGATATTTTGTAGAATGTTCATAACTAAACAGTTTCAATTTCCTTTGACTTCTACTGTATGAACAAAAAATACAATGGAAGTCAATGGGAATGGTTTGGAATGTAAATGATGACAGAAATGTCCTTTTTGTGTGAACTATCCCTTCATAGTAATGATCTATATGACTGAAAGCCATAGACCAAAAACTGAAAGTTTCCCCTTAATTAGGTTTCCCCTTAATAATAATGTCACAATGTCACCCTGAAACCTGTCAAGTTAATATATTACAAGTATCACATGGTAGCCTACCTTTACATAAACGCCACTGTTTTCCATGAGACCTGAATGCCTGTAAATGCAGAAAAGTGATAAAATTAGACCAGTGTGGTAACCAATGTGAAAATATGGTAATGAGCTATGAGTCATGTGTTTGTTTCTGAGTGGAAACACTTATTCATAAGCATAACTTCACATTGAGTATGAAGTGACAGGCAGGTGGCTCCAAGGCAGGAAACTGTCACCGGAAAAACACATGCTGCTCTTTCCCATGACCACTATATCCTCAGTGTATTAGGGGATGCATTTACACAACTGTTGGACCACAGACACATCTGACATCACCCAGTTACAGCCTGCTGTGCCCATTCTCAAACAAAAGGCCTCCATGACAGACAGTCTGAATATCTTAGAGATTACAACACCAGTTCCCTCTCACGGTTTCACAATCAGATATTTAACGTTCTGTACTGAACATAGCCTTCTGGGTTGAAAAAAAAAAAAAAAACTACTTAAAAAACAAAACACTACACACATTCCTCAACGCACATTCAGACGAAACCCCACAAGACTCATGAAATCTGAATTTCTTAGCAAATGTTTTGTTGTTTTCCAGTTTAAATATAAAAATCAGACATATAAATACATAAACAGAAATTTTCTTACCTCAATGACAAACTGTTTTTTCTTTATTGTTTTTTCTTCCTTTTTTCTTTTTTGATGTTTTAAGCATAAATAATACTACATTTAGTTTTTTTGGTTATAGAAAGTATATTAAAGTCTTACCAATAATATACCACAATTTTGTTTGCATACAAATGTAACAGATGTTATTTTTGTAACTGAAAAACAAGAAAACGCTTATTAAGAAAATGACTTTTCAGTACATCAAGACATATGGCATAAGATGACACTTCAACACCTTACTCTGATGTTTACATTATAAATCAGACGTCACCTAAACAACCATAAAATAACCTCAAATCAGAAAAGGATTCTCCTCTACAAAACACTTCCCAAACACTTCACTTGTTCTCAGTAGAAAATCCCTCCACTCACAAATACAACATGCTGATAAGAATGAGGATGAACAGGCTTTGTTTTGCTGTAAAAAAATATTACAGTATCAAAAAGTATATGGCATAAACATATTAAAGGACACTTCAACTCCTTACACCAATAGTACATAGCGTACATTATTATTCAGACGTCCTTCAAAGAAAGGCATTCTCCTCTACAAAACACTTCCCAAACACTTCACTTGTTCTCAGTAGAAAATCCCTCCGCTCACAAATACAACATGCTGATAGAATGAGGATGAACAGGCTTTGTTTTGCTGTAAAAAAATATTACAGTATCAAAAAGTATATGGCATAAACATATTAAAGGACACTTCAACTCCTTACACCAATAGTACATAGCGTACATTATTATTCAGACGTCCTTCAAACTCATTTTACTCATTTTAACAACCATAAAATAACCTCCTACCGGAAAGGGATTCTCACCAAAGTCATTGTCTTGTATAAAACCCTTGTTAGACCCTCCACAAGTGCGACATGCGATATGACAGGATGAGGATGAGCACGTACTCTGCGCACTTTGTTTCTCTGTGATCTGCTCTCGCTGTGTTGTCTAACCGAATCCCAATGGAACTGAAGGAATGTCAGACTCAGAAAGCTGAGCGCGAAAACACTTTTCCAAACGGCAGTTACATAATGAGCAGACTCCCTTCCCCGAACCTACTCTCTACTCCTCTCAGACATCCATAAACAAGCACCATCTATCACTATAAACACAAAAGTCTTACGGACAATGTAACTTTACCCTAACATGTGACAGTTTACCCATACAGGGAATGCAACTTCTACGACTTTCAAAGTCATTTTGTAATATCTGACCTCAGCGATCAGTGTAGAACTCATTGCTATCGAATTTCACTTTCATTCCATGTTTTAAAGTTTAAACAACCTCAGCTGTCATTAACCACTACATGGTCATGAGGCTTGTCCCGCGGTGAGTGAGGGAGTTCATCGCTGTCATGTGTGCGTTTCACGCGCAGTTCTTTGTCACTTGACACGCAGCGCGTCTATTATTCTTTGCTACAATGTTGCAGTGTCTCATGATGACGTCCTTTTTTTCTGTATCTTTCTCACCCCTCCCCTACAACTTGGCATCTTCATCATACTCACAAAATGCCTGTTGTTGTACGCCAAAAGCGTTTGTTTAGACAGTTCAGCAATACTAACTGAGGCTCGCAGATGCCCATGGTCTCATTTAGATCATTGTATTACTCCCTGTGCCAGTCTCTGAGTGGCTCAGCTTGCAGATAAAGCACAGAGAGCTTTTTTAACTTAAAAAAAAAAGTATTTAGCATTTAAAAATGGCAAAACTAAACAAAACATAGACAATAATGCTAACACTGTTATAAACCTTATTTACTAGGCCTATATTAAAATGCCATCCACACCAATGAAGCTCATACGTGGAGATTCGGTAAGAATATACTAATTTTAACATATGAATTGTTTATAACTTCGTAAATAAAAAGGGGAGTTCCTCATGGACAATTTAGGAAATCGCAACAGTTGTGGGCAGTATATAGTGTAAAGCAAATTCTTAGAAATATGTGAGGATGTGAACAATGAGAACGAGTCAGAGTCTTTTTCAAAAGTCATTAGTTTTTAAACGGGTTCTAGGAAACGGCACCCATGTGAACCTCAGGTCAAATTTGACTCATATTAACATAATAAAAAATAATTTAAAGACTTTTTAAAAATGTATTTTCACAACTTTTGGGACAAAAACTCAAAATCATTTATAACATTGCAAATCTTTTATAATAACCTCTGCTAACTGAACAGTGTAGTTCTTAAAGTTTAAAATAGAGTTATGATAAAGTAAAACATAGTTAAATCCGGTCCTCCACCATATTCCAAACATTTGGCATCAGTATTACATAGGAAAGTGCTGTATAGTGATATTTGTTATGTTTAAAAAAAGACAACATCCAGGGTGCCTTTCACCCAGAGTGACCTTAAGCCCCATTGTGACCTGTAGAGAACAGTAGCCTATGCGTGAGTGGGTAAATATTAGTAAATGCAAAATATATTTTGATTAACAGATTTACAAAAAAAAACAAAAAACCGGAACAACACGAAAAAGACCACGACTAATTCTTCAAATACAAGTTTGATAAGTACAAACCAAGTAAAAAGTGAAAAAGCACTCTCTCTATATATATTATAGTCTATAAGGTTCAATTTGTTTACATCTCTTAACATGAACTAACACTTGTAAAGCAATTATTAATCTTATATTAAACATTAGAGAAATGTGTAGAATTAGCAAATGACAGGATACAGCTCATGTTTCAATCAAAAATGAAACGGCCGTTTAATAGGCCCAAACCTCTTTGTACAATATTTTGAAAGACTGTGAAAAAGCACAATGTACACTCGCGCATGTCTCTGCGCAGCGCCTGAGTACTTCTCAGGCTGTTTCGTTTAAAGTAGGCTATACGTAAAAGTTCAATGCCTCCCAAAAAGAATGGAAAAGGGACCGGAGATAAATCAATTAAAAAGGAAAGTATGAACCCTGAGCAGAAAAACGAAGAAGAATTGATGGAGAGTGACAAAAACTTTTATCGGGCTCAAATACGCGATTTGGAGTAGCGACTGGAAAGGTGAGAGTCTCTTGCAAGTTACCACGACCTTTTATTTTACATGGTTGTTTGTTATGTTACATTAGTCAGACGTTTATAAGAAAATACTTCTGAATTTAGGCAATCTCAGAAAAAACCTCTAAACACCTAAAAACAAACAAAAAAAAAGCAACCTAAAAACAAAAATGCACTAGTACATTCATTTAGCTAAAGTGAGGACGTGCAGCAAACACTCACCTAATGATGATGCTGATTTGACAACTTGATTGAAGTCTCTGTAAGATATTTTTGGATTATAATATAGGTCACAAGATTATAATAGCATCAACAGAACTTAGCTCATAATATTTACTGTGAGTTTAGGTTATTCGTGCAGCTCATGTCTGTGCCTTTGAGGAAACTAAACTGAAATAGACTTTGGATTATAATCTACTGTTAATAATTAACCAGGCAACATAATTCAGCAAATATGTCATACCCTCTACAGGAAGCACTTGCCTCATACACGTTATTAAGAACTGTGACCTTGTCTTTTTTTTTCTTGCAGATACCAGCAAAAATGTGATGAACTGGAGGTTCAGGAAAAGGATTTATACTCAAAGATCAATAATGTGGAGAAAGAGAAGAAAGGCATAGTTCTCTACTTAAAACGCACACTGGCTCAAAAAGAAGATGAACTGATTGATCTGGCTGAGACGTTATCAAGACACCAGCAAGCTCCAGAGGCTGAGAGAGAGTCCTTTGAGTTACAACTGAGCCTGCTTAGACACGAGCTTCAGGAAAATAAGGAAAAATTCACATCTGAGAACATGGCGCTTGGTACTTCTGAGGAGTCACATATTCACATAGAATACAAACATCTAATAAAATAAAAACATATGAATTATCACTAACGCGATATACTGTATATTACAATTCAAAATGTCACATTGATTTTTCAGGTCTTAGCTGTACTGAGGCATTAAACATCATAAGTGCCTGGTATTAATAAAAGCCCCTTACAAACTAAAATGTGTTAACCTTTTTGTGTTCAGCTGGTAAACTGGCGTCTTTGGAGGAATTCTCTATGCAGAGAGAGAAGCTTATGGCTGAACGCAGGTGTTTGGAAGAGCAGCTTCAAAAGCAAAAAGAAGAACCTCAAGCACAAATCTATAATCTCGAGAAAAAAGCAGTACTGGACAATGACAGGTGAGCATGTTCATACTCATTGTTCAGAGATCATGGGAAGTGCATTCTTAGATGAATATGACTGGATCAATAATGACCACTCTTCATAAATATTGTGCATTATTTGAGGTCTGAAGCCATCAGTGCCGAACATTAGAAATTACATATATGTCAAATGGGTGATTGTTTTCCATTCATCTTCTATTTTCAATGAAAGATCGCAATGTAAGGCCTTATTTATAAATGATATAAATAATAAAAAAATTTTTTTAAAAAACATACAACTCTTGATTTTAATAATGCATTAGTAAATTTTGAAAATAACATTAACTAAGATTAATAAATGCTTTAGAAGAATTTTTCATTGTTAGTTCATGTTAACTAATGTTAGCAAATGGAAAAAAAGTGTTACCAATATGAAATGCTTTAAATATTTATATATTATTATTACCTTCAGCTGCTCCCGTTAGAGGTCGCCACATGGAATTATCTGTCATTTATGCTGGATTCCCTTGCTGATATCTTTTAAATGTATTTTTAAAAATATAAAGTTGGTAAAAAAAATAAATGTGTTAACTACAAGCTACATTTTATTTAATTGACCCTTTTGGCTGATACAGGCTAAAGAAAGAAATGCTGCAACATGTTGCTGCTGTAGCAGCTGAATTTCTGCGGGTTTCAGATCAGATGATGCCCGAGACGACAAAGAAGGCCATGCAAGAAAACCTCTCTGTGACAGCACAACTTCAGCAGCTCTCAGACAAGACCAAGGAGCTGCTGAAGGAGAATGATGATCTGCGAGCAAGAGAAAAGCAGCTCAAAATAGAGAATGCCATCACTGAACCGCTGCTACATCAGATAACCAAGAAGAATGTTGCTAATCAAAAGGTTAATCAAAAAAGTTTATACGTCTATACTTTCATGCATTTAAGCAATCTTTTTTTTTTTTCTTGCTGTTTGGAAACGTGCATTTTATATAGCCTAGAGCAAAAATGAAACATGACTCTTTCTCAAGGTAGTCCATCAGTTGACAGAAAAGTGCAAGCAAATGCAGTCTGAAGTGGAGAAATGTGCCAAACTTAAAGTGGAGCACCAAGAGCTGCTAGACAGTCACTCTGCAATATGTACAGAGCTTGATGCTCTCAGGTTGGACTCCTGAAGTTGCTTATTAGTAAAATAATTGACATTAAATACTTCCTTCAGTGTGTTTTAATAGCATTACCACCACTGTACTTACAGAAAAAAACATGCAACAGTAATAGAAGTGGTAAACCAAACAAAAGCTGAAGCCAAGAGACAGAGGAAAGAGCTTGAAGAGGAACGGATGTTAAGAAAACAGCTAAAAACAGTTCTTGAGGAAGCAGCAGTAGCTTTAAAAGAGGCCCTAAGGGTAAGAGTGAACATAAACAGGTCAATTATCATTTGGTGTTACAGCCAAGTAAATAAGCAGTAGTTACAGGGGGTCCCTAAAGAGGAAGACTCAGAACTGAAAATTACTGTCAGACGAAATCAGATGATGCAGAAAAGTTGCTTATAAGTAAAATAATTGACATTAAATACTTCCTTCAGTGTGTTTTAATAGCATTACCACCACTGTACTTATAGAAAAAAACATGCAACAGTAATAGAAGTGCTAAACCAAACAAAAGCTGAAGCCAAGAGACAGAGGAAAGAGCTTGAAGAGGAACGGATGTTAAGAAAACAGCTAAAAACAGTTCTTGAGGAAGCAGCAGTAGCTTTAAAAGAGGCCCTAAGGGTAAGAGTGAACATAAACAGGTCAATTATCATTTGGTGTTACAGCCAAGTAAATAAGCAGTAGTTACAGGGGGTCCCTAAAGAGGAAGACTCAGAACTGAAAATTACTGTCAGACGAAATCAGATGATGCAGAAGTTGCTGGCTGAGCTGGACAGTGCTGCAGCTTTAGGAAACGGTCCAGCTCTTACTGACTTCATACCAGAGGCGACTTGCAGTCATGATCTCAAAAAAGCCTCTGACATTAAAAGGTACACATTCATTTATTTTAATTCAGT